CTAACATGTCATCTACATATACTTCCATACATTCGCCTATCAAGCTAGCAAACATTTTATTCACTAAGCGTTGGTAGGTGGCCCCGGCGTTCTTCAGCCCAAACGGCATCATTGTGTAGCAATAGAGCCTGCGTGCCGAGTAGAAGGAGGTATGTTCTTCGTCATCCGGGTGCATGAGGATCTGATTGTAGTCGGAATACGCGTCCATGAAACTCATCAATTCGTACCCCGAGGTGGCGTCAACCATGTAATCGATGTGGGGGAGTGGGTAGCTGTCTTTGGGGCATGCCTTGTTCAAGTCAGAGAAGTCGATGCACAAGCGCCATGCTCCGCTGCTTTTCTTCACGAGTACCGGATTGGCTACCCAGGTCGGGTACCGGACCTCGTGAATGTATTCGTTATCTTTGAGCTTGGTCACTTCTTCTTCCAAGGCTTGCTGTCGATCCGGGCCGAGCTTCCTCCGCTTTTGCACGACCGGCTTGACCGTGGGGTCGACCTGCAGCCGGTGACAGGCGACCCGCGGGTCGATGCCGACCATATCTTCGTGGGTCCACGTAAAGACGTCTGCGTTTTGTCGGAGGAATTCGGTCAGCTCGGCCTTCATAGGCCCCGGCAATTTGCTCCCAATCTGGAGTTGTTTCTGGCAAGTCCCTTCATCAATGAAGATGACTTCGACTTCGTCCATAGGCTTGGCCCTCTTTGTTCCTCGTTTTTCTTCGTATTGGGTCCGGGGGTCGAGCTCGTCCTCCTCCATGATTGGCCTTTTGCGGCCCTTCTTCCCCTGTCCCTGTCGAGGTCGGCTTCGGTGCCGCCTTCGGTTTGGCCGGCAGTTTCGCTGTCCAGGCAGGGGTCCGTCAGCTCGGCATCGGGGGCCAGGTTGTCTGCCCCCGTGTTGGGTTCCATGTTTGCGGGGTCGGTACTCGATGAGGTCAAAGGGTGCGAACCTGTCTGGTTTCCCAGCATGCGGTTGCCCCTAAGACCATCGCGTGCTGACCCGATGTCTGTCACCTCGGCGTCGGCCTGAAGGTCTGCCGTATTTATTTCGGTGCGCGGGATGGTCAGAATGCATTCCCGCGCCTCTCTCTGATCTCCTCGGTGGGTCCCCTCCCCGTCGGAAGTTGGGAACTTGAGGGAATAATGGAATATGGAGACGGCGGCCTTCAGCTTGTAGAGGGCCATCCGCCCCAGAATGGCGTTGTACTCGCTTGGGCAGTCCACGATTTTGAAAGTTTCTAAGATTGTCTTCGTGGGCTGCCCCTTCTCCCCGAACCGGATTGGCAACGTGACTTGACCGACTGGGGCGATGGTCTGCCCGTTGAAACCCTGGATTCGTTCCCGGCAGGGTTGCACTTCCTTCCTGTCGATCCCCATCTTCTTGAAGGTCTCGTAGTAAAGGATGCTCGCATAGGCCCCGGTGTTGACCATGATGCGATGGATCTTAATCGCCATGATCGGCGCCGTGATCATCAGGGCGTCGGAGTGGGGGTGATCGAACAGGAAGGCATCTTCATCGGTGAAGGTGATGGTGTTTGGGATCGGCTCCGATGCCGGTCTGCTGTTGGCGTGCATCACCCTTTGCCCAGCATGATTGGCCTCACGGGCTTAGGCCTTGGTTTGTCTCCTGAAGAGGAGGGACTCGCTCCGGCTCGTGTTGACGCGCCGGGTTGGATAGTTGGCCGGGTCGGCCCCGGTTCGAGGGGACCGATCTCTCTTCCTGCCCCTTGAGGTGCCGGTCCATCTTGGTGGGTGGGGCAGAAAGTCATGATTTCGTGGGGGCCACCCTGCTGTGGCTTCTTCCTTCGAGGATTCACGTCGGCATCCTCGTCGCTGTCTTGGCCTTCCCCAAAGCGGCCCCCCTTCTTCCTCTTGTCTCCGGAGTGGGTAAACCTCCGAAGCTGGGGGTCGTCGATTAGTTTGAGCAATGTCGAGATCAGATTTCGGCACTGGTCGGTATTGTGCCCGTGCCCCTTATGGTAAGAGCAGTAGCGGGTCTTATCTACCTTGTCTTTGTCGGTGAACATCGGTTTGGGGTCCGGTAGCAACCCCTTGGCCTTGATCTCCTCGTAGACCGCCGCGACTCCCACCGAGAAGACGCCTTGGTAGCTTTCTTTCAGTTCCTCAGCCCTTTGTCTCCGCTGAGCCCGGATCTCAGCGAACGACTTGCTCGGCTTCCCCGATTTTTCTTCCTTTGCCTTTGCCTTTGCCTTTGTTGGTGCCGGCGCGGCGTCGAATGTGGGGATGGAAGAGGATTCCTCCTCCATTATGTAATCTTGGGCGCGGGCGAGGAACTCCTGGTAGGTGGTCGGCTTATTCTGGCACAGGGATCACCTAAACAGCGTCTTCGGCCTCAGGCCGCCCTGAGCGGTGATCAGCAGGGCGTCGGGATGGCACCGCTCCATGTTTTGGACCCGGTCATTGAATCGGGCAATGTAGTCCTTGAGGCTCTCGTTCTCGCCCTGAACGATATTGGAGATGGACTCTTTGGGGGCGAGGTTGACCTGCGATCCAATAAAGTGCGACCGGAATGCCGACTTGAGCTGGGCCCAGGTGGAGATGGAATGGGGGTAAAGAGAATGATACCACCTCTACGCCTTTGGCCCCAATGTCAAGGAGAACATGCGGCAGCGCAGGGCGTCAGAGGCGCCGTGTAGGTCCATCCATGAAGTGTACAGACCGATGTGGGAGTCAGGGTCCGAACTCCCATCATAGAGGCCGAGCTGGGGCACTTGGATCTGTTTCGGGACGGCCTCTTGTAGGATGTCGGGGGAAAGAGGCGAGGCGTGGTCCGCGACCCGGGGAGTGGGTCGCGTACGAGTCTGTGGATGAGCTGGGAGTGAAAACTCACTCCCGGTGGGCTGCCGACCTTCCAGTTCGGCAATTCTGCGTTTGAGGGCCGCGACTTCCTCAGTGTCGTGCCCGATGGCTTTGCCTCGCCTGATCACCTCCCGGAGATCATGGTTGGCTTGGCTCTTGTCGCCCAAGCGCTGGTGGACAGAGCGACGAACGACCTGGAGGCTTCGCTCCGGCCGGCTCTCCCCCGTCTGCTCGGTAGGAGCCGGTCTGGTGCTTTTGTCACGGCGGTTCTGAGCTTCGCGGTTCGGTGACTGAGCCGTGGTTTTGGATTTTGTCGGGTTCTTTTGCCCCCCGGTCTCCTTCTCGGGAGTGTGGACTAGGGTGTTACCGGGGTTCTCCGTGGGCACCACGGTGTTTGTCCCGGCAGTTTGACTGGCGAGGGCCTTGGCGAAGACCCCCTCGAGGGCTTTCAGGACATCAGGGTGCTGCAAAGCCGCAGCAAAGGTAGGGACTGGTGGAACTGGGACTATGGGTCCCTGCTGAGCACGACGGGAAGTTTCCCCGCCGTTACGGCCACGAGGCTGGGAGCCGGACTGCTGGGTGGAGTCATCACGACCGGATGAAGGCATTTTGAGTTGTTTTTGGAAGTGGAAAGAGTGGGAAAGAGATGAGTGCGAAGTGGAGCTTCACAAGATCGAAAAATTGACACCAAGTAACTTATGGGGCCCTTCCTCTAGCGCCAAACTGTTGACGGACGTTTCCGGTCAACGGTTAAAAAGTTTAGTAATGAAAAGATAATAGGAAAAAGACAAAGAATTATGGTTTAATTACGATTTATTAAGAGATCACGAGGTCGGTCTCTCGTACGAGGTCGACACTTGCGATATATTTACAGTTTCTTACACGAGTTTCTTACAAGTTTAGAGAGAGAAAGTATAGAAAAAGCTTTTACAGTTGAGGTTCAACAACCCAAAAATAAATGAGGGGGTTGCTATTTATAGTGGTCTTTAATGCGGTACTGTTCAGGTACTGTTCACCGGTCTTGTCGTACAGTAGTTCGGCGGGACAGGCCGGCTTTTCTCTGACTGTTTTGGAGTAATTTCGGGATCTCCCAATCATTATCTGCAATGCATTTAATGTTGATAGGGACTGCATTTAATGCGGACAAGCTCTTGGGTCGGGCTAGATACTCTAGACCTGCTGGCTAGCTTGGGGTGTCCCATCGGTGATCATTGGTTGGCAAGTGGTCATATTCTATTATTTTGTAGGCACGTAATTCCTTTAAGAACCAACCTGGCATAGTGCCGAGCTGGACCAGGATGGCCTGTTCTTCGATATTCGTGGCGGGGGTGTAAGGGAGCCGACCCCTCTGACAGAGGATCGGGGTGCCGACTAGTGCTGCAAACGAACCGAACCGAACCGAGCTTGGGCTGTTCGAGCTCGAGTTCGACTGATATTCGAACATGTTCGAGTTCGTTCGTTTATTAGTCGAGCCTAAATTTTTGTTCGTTTTCGTTCGTTAAGTTCGCGTTCGTTCGTGTTCGGCTCGTTTAACTAATCGATATTTTTTTAACTTTTCGAGCGTTCGATTAGCTCGACTTGTTCGAATAGTTCGATTATCAAAGCTTACCTGCTATTATATATAAACAGTGGCAATCAATCAAAATTTAGAAAGTAAAATACCTGAACAGGACCAAAATAGCGATTACCAAAATATAGAAATGCAAATAAAAATAAGTTGAATTCCAGCACATTACAGTTCTTAATAAACATCCAAATTCGTAAGTCTTAATAAACATCCAGTACATAACATTCAAGAACAAAGTCCAAAACAATAAAGCAACTTCAGATTTGATCAACCACCGTCGGCTCATCATCTCATTTCCCGGAATTCCTACAATTAATATAAAAGACAAGCCAAGACAATCAACATAAAATACAACTGTATAATAGAAAGTTTGTATGGCAGCAGACAAAAAAGAAAAAAAGATATGGTAGCAGGCCAAAGAAAAAGATAAGGCAACAATTTACCAAACCAAGTAACCTGTTACATAAAAAAGATATGGCAGCAGAAAAAAAAATAAAAAAATATGGCAGCAGCCATTTCCAAATTTCATGGCATTCTTGCAAACAATTTAGATGTCTATTTGATGAAAATTTGAACCTGGCAATAACATGTGCATAAGATAATATTATTTAAGTTAACCTGGCACTGGCAGCAACAATATGGAGCACGTCTTAAAGCAAATCAACTTCTTCAAAATGAAGATCTTCTTCAGGATCCTAAAACAAAAGAAAGAAAGTGAACATAGAACACATGATAATAATATTAAAATAATTATATATAACATGTTATATTAACAATACTAACCCGATTATGACGATTCCTGAGTCCATGGATATTTCGCACCCAATCAGATGCACATAAAAGCATTTCAACAGTCTCAACTGACATAGACGCACGACGATTATCAATGACTCTACCGCCGGCACTGAAAGTGGACTCGGAAGCCACCGTCGTAATAGGAATAGCTAATACATCAGCCGCCATCTTAGATAATCGAGGATACTTAATCTGATTTACCATCCACCACTCAATTGCATTAAACTGGGCAGTTGAATCACAAATTAAAACATCTTCTTCAAGGTAAATATCCAAATCAGATTTATGAGACTTCACTTTTTCCCCCCCTTGCCTAACAAATGAGTCAAACTTGGACTTCCCAGTAACAACAGTTCTCCCAATTACTTCATTGCTGCTATTACCAACTTGAATATTATCAGGTCTAGTTCTCTTATTCACGTTTCGCTCTTTGTCAAGTTGAAGGTCATTATGAGCAGTGACATAAGTTTCATAAAGCTCATATAACTCTTTCTTAACCAACTCAATGTTCACATCAGATGCTTCTTGGTAAAGTACGGGAAAAGAAAATTCAATTAGCTTCATCTTGTATCGAGGATCCAAAATGGCACTAAAAGAGAACAACAAATTACATTCTCCCCAATATTTATCAAACTTGGAAGTCATCGCTTGTGCCATAGCTCTTATATTCGAAGAACTATCAAGTAACTTCTCATTTAAGAGCTCCTTTATTCGATAAAGTTCAGGGAGAAATAAATTAGCTGTTGGATACTCAGAACCCGATATCAAATTAGTAATTTCATGAAAAACACCCAAAAATTGAGTCACTCCTTCAACCTTCACCCAATCATAAGCATCAGGTACATAATTAAAACCAGGATCAATATCTCGATAACGTGAAAAGACATCCTTAACTTCTAAAGCAGCAGCCAACATCAAATAAGTTCCATTCCATCTAGTTGGACAATCAAGGATCAATTTCTTGCAAGGTAAGTGAATTTGTTTCACAATTTTGGAAAATTCATTACAACGAGCCTCTGAACTCCTAATGTACTTAATGCCTTTCCTAACAACTTCAATAACATCCTCAATATGACCAAGTCCATCTTGAACAAGCAAATTCAGAATATGAGCACAACATCTAACATGAAACAATTTTCCATCCAGCGGCAAACATTTTCTCAACAAAAGATCACCTTTTAATCTCCTAATACAAACATCATTATAAGCAGCATTATCAACAGTGATAGAAGCCAACTTATCCTCAATCCCCCAATCAAGAAGAGATTTACTAAGACCATCAGCAACAATGATTCCGGTATGTGGTGGTGGAATATTTTTAAAGCTCAATACACGTTTTTGAAGCATCCAGTTAGAATCAATAAAATGCCCAGTCACAACCATATACTGAATATTCTGCCCACTCTTCCACAAATCAGTAGTGATGCTTATCTTGTTCACCTTATGCAATAATGTCTTAATTCTTTTCTTTTCAACTTCATAAGTGGACCGACAATCTTGCTTCACAGAGTTACGGCTTATTTTTTGATAAAATGGTGAACAGGCTTTCATGAATTTATTGAAAATAGCATGTTCCATCATGGCAAATGGATATTCATGAACTAAAAGCATGTGTGCAGCAAGTTCCCGAACTCTAGCATGATCATACACAAAATTATTAAGTGAACTACCTTCCTCAGACTGTGAAAACGCTAGAACCTGTTGCTTCAAATTGGGATTTTGGCCGAGCTTAATTTTTCTTTGCAAACAGGAATTCAGATGTCTGTTAAACTGAGTTGTGGTGCTGGTCTTGTTCACTCGTAGCTTTTCATTGCAGTAGTTGCACTCGGCAATCTGAACACCTTTTATGTCGGCATAAGTTGTCATCTCTTTCCAGCATTTAGCAGTTTTCTTCCGTTTTTTTCTTTGGAATGGAGCATCTGCACTTTTTTCCTCGTGGACGGCTTCTTCTTCTTGGCCTTCTTGGGGAGAAATATCTTCATTTTCAATCGCAGCAGCATCCATATCATCAATTAAATTATCCATCGGGATCGGACTTGTAGACGAACCTTCGAATGGAGATGACGGGGTAGTTGACATACCTATTAAGAAAAAAAAATATGAAACCTTTTAGGCATACAAAGAAACATACAGAAACAGAAGCAAGAAATGGAGGGAAAATCAGGAAAATTGGCCCAAATTTAACTTACAACTAATGGCGGTATCCGTGCGGTCCTTACTGAAGCAGCGTCCCAGGCTTCAATATGTAAGGAACTAAGGAGGAAGAAGCAGATCTTCGTCAAGCTTGAGTTGAGGGCGAGGGTGGAGCAGACCTCAGGCCGTGAACGAGGGCGAGAGTGGAGGCGTGGAGTAGATCTCTGGCCGTGAACGAGAGCGAGGGTGGAGCAGTTCCTGAGCCTTGAGTTGCACAACTTGACTGCTTGAGGGCGAGCGTGGAGCAGATAGCCGGAAAACTACTTGAGGACGACGGGCCGACGGGATCGGGTAGGTGCGGCGAAGGCGATTTTGGCGAGGGAGAGAGTTGAGATCTGATTTTTAGGGTTTCAGCCTGAAAAATGTCGAAAATGAGTATACATAGAGACTGAGAGTAAATGTGTAAGTGCATATTATATTATTAATATTAGTTATTTACTTTATTATTATTAGTATTATTATTATTTTATTATTATTATTATGTTCGCGAACACTCGTTTATGTTCGCGAACATGTTCGTGTTCGTTCGAATAATAAACGAGCTCAATTTCATGTTCGAGCTCGGCTCGATTGTTAAACGAACGAGCTTTAAACGAACACGAACGAGCTCGAACGAGCTTTCGTTCGCGAACGTTCGGTTCGTTTGCAGCACTAGTGCCGACCTTGCAAGGTAAGGGGCAAGATGCCGACGCCGAATTCGACAGGTGTCGTCATTCTCGTTAACTCTGACTTCCACTCGGATCGGCACCTAAAAATAGTTTCGGTGACCGGCTCCTTCGATCCGGCCGGTTACCATCCGACTCCCGATCTCTCAGACCGGGTTTTCCATAGGAGCCGAACTCGGGTATCAGCATACGTAAATCCCCCCATCGATATCTAGTTGATATATATTACCATTGAATTAAAAATTCACAAACAAAGAAATGTTTCCACATCCCTACCACCAAAGTTCGACTTCGAACGATGAGCAACATTTGGAATTCCGACAAGAACAAATAAAAAATGAAGGATCGACATACCTGTCGCTCATAGCCGCTACAATGGGACCGCAATTTTTGAGCTTCGACAACAACGGGACCACAATTTTTCACATGTTTTAAAAGAGACAAATTTCTTTCTAACTGTGTGAAAATTAGGTCGTGAAGTGATTTGGGAACAACCATCGGTCGGTTAGCCTTTTGTACTGATTTTTACCACGTCAGTGATCACTTAAAATGTCAGCAGGAACTTAGTCCACGTAGGCTTAACTTACGGACACGCTGATAAAACTGTGACCGCCATTTCATTTTGAGTTCTGGTTGCAAACATAAGACAAGGTTAGGTTATTTTTGCTAAATTCCAAAAGTTTGGTTAAAATTGCCAGAAGCTATAAGGTCGTGATATTACCGACAATTATTACACTAGTCACATAAATATTAAATTACATTAAATTTAATTGGAAAACAATATTCAAGTGTCGAGAGATTTTACACCTTTTTATTTGTTACACTACTCTCAGAAATAATTTGTTACACTACTCACATAAATATTGGAGACGATTTTACAAAGTTACAGGTAAGTTTAGTAGTAGCAAATTTTATTTTAGAGAACATTTTTCATATTCGCATATTTTTTAGTGGTTAAGATTTGCCAAATTCGAAACACAATATGAGAAATACTGAAATTGAGAATAGAACAGGGGCTCTTATGTCTTACAACAAATCACAATACATCGTTTTGGCTTTTGCACTTTCTTCCCATCCCTTCCCCTCTCTGGTCTCTCCCCATCATAAAAAGTAAAATCCCCAAATTCAGACTCGGCTGCTCCTCACTCCCCAATCCCCATCTCTGGAAGCAAAATTAGGGTTCTCTACTCGAATCTGACCGTCGCCGATGGCCGAAGTTCTGGACGCTTCAGAGGAAAACCTTGACCGCCGCCGAGAAAGAAACGCCAGCACTGACAAGCCCTCGGACGCCGCCCCTTCTGATGCTGCCCCCGAAGCCGCATCGCCTCCTCCTCCTCCCCCCCCGCCACGCCGAGGCATCCGAGACCGTGGGCGCGATTCCAGAGAGCGGCGTGACGACCGGGACTTTGACCGTCCTCCTCGGCGTGAGTACTACGATCGGAACCGATCCCCGCCCCCACCGCCGCCGCGCGAGAGGGACTATCACAAGCGCGGCAGGTTGAGTCCCAGCCCTCCACCGCCGGCTTACAGGGACCGACGTGGAGGGGGCCCGCATTCGCCTCCTCCAAGGAGATCGCCCCCGTTTCCTCCATACAAGCGGAGGAGGGACGATGTTTATGATGGAAGGAGGGGAAGTCCCAGAGGAGGACACGGGCCAGGGGACCGAAGGTGAGCAATGGGTTGAGTTGTATCGTACAGTGGCTTATGCCTGTTACTTTCCTGCTACTTGAGTACTTAGTTACCCATTTTTACATGTGTTCGAAGGTGTTAATCCAAATTATAATACAGTTGGTTGTTTATGAAGTTACTTGTATAGCCATGTGCTAATTGCATTGGTGTGTATGGTCTATTTGTATGCTTGTATGTATACTTCTAACTCTACATTTCATGATATTTTTGCACAAAATACTAAAATTTGAGATATCCAAA